AATACAAATTAGTACATAACAGGCACCCGCCAAACTAGGTTTCATTGGCCCTATTAAGTCTGCAAATACCACTTCTAGTGGTTTCTTGGTTTTAAACCCGTTTAACCTATTAGCCAGGGTAGCTCTACTCTTCTGTTCATTACAAACATTACAATTTAGATAATGATTACATGGCTTTATCTTCACTCCATCAACTAACTTCACTGTTTCTTGCAAGATTTTGAAGCAATGTCCCATTCACCTATGCATTAAGTGAATACACTCATTGTGTGGTTTAACATTCGAATACACAGAATTCACAACATAGGAATCAGACATTGCATACAACCCATCTTGTAGCTTAGCAGTAACCTTAATACTCCCTTTTTCAATAAAACAATTATCTCCTTCAAATGTTACAGTGTAGCCACGATTAACCAAAACTTTAACTGAAAGCAAATTAAACCTAATTTCTAGTACATATAACATATGCAATGTTTCATCAGTACATGGACATTTAGCAATACCTTCACCCGATACCTCTAGCCTCCACCGATTTGCTAAAGAAACATGTTGTTTACTTGTGACCAACCTTACAAAGTTTTTTTCTATTTTTAGTAATACACATCAATGTTACACTGTCAATAACCCACAAATTGTGGTTAAATGATGCATTATTAGCTATAGTCACATTAATCTCATGTTTTCTAGATTGTAGAGGTTTCTGTAGTCTTGGCTTCTTGCAAAATCTGGCAATGTGACCCTTCTTACCACAACAACATTTTACAGTATATACATAACTAGGTAAATCACTACTCTCTGGCATCCTCTTTCTTAACTGTTTTCTATCTTCTCTTCTTCTAGACTCTTCCAGCAGTCTTGAGGTAGTGGAGATCAATATAATGTCCTGTTGAAATAGAACTTCAAAAGACGTTACAAAATCGTCGTAGCTTTCATCAAATGATGAGAGAATAATGTAAACTTGGTGCTGCTCTGAAAAAATTAACACTTTTTCATGTAGCTCTTGAAACATATGTTTCATGTAGTTCAGGTGTGCTAACATGTTACCACCCTTGGTGAGTCGTGTTCTAAAGAGTTTTCTTGTAATATTAATATGAGCACCCACAGA